GTGGCTTGTGTACCTGGTCCGACTCAAATACATGTAGATCAAATATGGTGCGCGCTCCCGATCATATGATGTAGACATCGGCATGATGCTGATTATTGTCTGTGTTGTTGACGCTTTACTTTATCTGGCTGCCACGTGTGGTGCTGCTTCGCCCAAACTGCACAATGATGCAAGGGTGTTTCGATGGGGAACTCTGCAAATACTGCCAACGTCGGACAGCATTTGGTGTCTACTGCACTCCCATCTGGTTGGCAACCCCATGCTCCCCAGATTTAGCAGCTGTTGTTGTTCAGATGGCGGGAGGCCGAGCATAGCAAGGACAGTAGGGGTGATCCAGAGGGGGTACTTGGCTTAATCTCACACGATTCTTTGAACATGCCTCATTCCCAATTCTATTCCCCAATTGATGCGCTGGTGTCGGCGATTTCGCGTTGGGCGGTGTCTCATTCGCGCGTGTCTGCGAGCGGACGTTTCCTCCAGCAATTGTGGCAGTTGGCCTCGTGGCTTATCTTCTGATGCAGCCTATCTCGGTGTATCATTTGCCATTACTTGTTGCCCTGGTCTTCCCTCTGTCTGACAGCCCAGTCTGGTTCAGTTCACATGGAATTTTGCGGAACGCAGTTCAATACAAGAAGCACGCATGCATTTGCCTACCTTACTCTTTAAAGCATAAACGAGTTCAGTTTGCTCTCACGAACATCGCGGAGCTTTGCAAAGCATGCTAATTTGGACCTCAATTCATGGTATATGCCCAGGCCTTACTCTGCCTTACCGTGTCTCATCCCACTGGTATTTGTATTGCTGTGTCCTGAGCAGTTGTTGTCATCTTCCCTTCTTTACGTAGTTTCTTCTTTAGTGTTTGCTACATAAGGTGACTTGTGATGGCTCTCAGGGGAGTTTGCCCTTCGCTTTCTTCCGCACTGACGTACACGCGTCTCGCTTTTGCTATGTTTTGTTCAGACCTTCCTTGCCCTGCTCTACCTGGAATGTCTTTTCTCCGCGGCTGTATTTTGGACTCGGCTTAAACATCGATGCCACAAACCGCTTTCGAGGCAAAGTCCAGTCTGGCGGCATGCCGGCATCGCTCGGCATATTGCTGGCTTGATGTCAGCTTGCTTCCAGGTTCGGACTGTCCCCTCTTTCCCTCCACCGTGCTGCATCCCTCTCCTTCAGGCTTCCACTTCGCTCGATACGAAGCCTCCTGAACCAAGCGGCCATCCATTCCTCGTCGTATGGCCAACCTCGTTCCCCTGGAGGCCCCGGCTCCACTCTTCCGCCCGTCCTGGGCACGTTTCGTTCCGCGGAGCAGGCCGCACGACGATGCGCCCAGTGCGAGTCTCGTGGTTTCTCACTCGTGCGAACGGTTCTGCAAGCCGTCTCGTTCCGGGGAGCCGATTCTGCCACTGGTGCGCAGCTCCTCTTGGTGCCTCGGGGCCGCTGGCTGGCTCCTCGCCTCTCTTCGGCTGCCTCTTCGCGCAGGGCTCTCTCTTGGGCCACCCGTTGCCCTCCCGGGCCCCAGCTTCCCTCTTCGTCTTCGACTCGCCATGGGCGAAACTAAGGGAACGAAAAGTGGCATAAACATAAAAACTCGGAGGTCCGCGCGGATTTCTCGGATCGGCGCTGGGGACCCCCGGCGGCGCCTCCGGCGCCGCCCCTGGCGCGCTCCGCGCGCCAGGGAGGGGGGCCCCAGCGCCGATCCGAGAAATCCGCGTGGACCTCCGAGTTTTTTTATGTTTAGGTCACCTTTCGGTCCCCTAGGAACGGGTCCTGAGGGAGGCGGGTCCTGAGGCTTTTCGCCGCTTTTGGCCTCCCGGGGCCCCCCGCGGGCCCAGGGACCGTCAGAAGAGGACTCAGGATGGAGAGCTGATCCCGGGGGAAGGCGGTTCCCACAGGGCCCGCTGCCCCCATGCTGAAGCTCCCCCCTCGTCTTCGACCCCGCCTCACCCTGCAGTGTGCCTCGGCCTCCCTCCCCGTCCTCGACCCCTTCTCTCTCCTCGACCCCCCTCCAGCTCCCCACCTCGTCTTCGGCCCCTCCTCGTCGGCTCCAGTTGCTTACCAGCCTCGAACTTATCCCTATCCCTAAGATTGACAATCTTAGGGATTCGCCCTTAAAGAATAAGGGAATCCCGAAGATTGGCATCGTAATGAGGAGGTGCCCAGCGTAGGGATAGGGATATGTTCCAGGCTGGTAAGCTGCCCTCGTCGGCTCCAGTCTCCCCTCTCGCTTCCGCGGGTCCGCCCGTGCGTCCCCGGGGCGCCTGCCGGCACGTCGTCGCGCCGTGCCGTGCCCGCTGCTTCTTGCTTTGGCCTCGTCTGTCGTTCTGGCGCGCCTGGCCAGAGCGGTCATCGGCAGCACGGAGGAGGAGGACTGAGGAGGAGAAGGAGGAGGAGGAGGAGGAGCAGGAGGAGGAGGAGGAGGAGGAGGAGGAGGAGGAGGAGACTTGATCTGAGGAGCAGTGGTGGTGAAGGGAGGAGCCCAGGGGAAAGTGGGAGCGGCACCAGCTGTAAGCCTTCGCTTGTGCAACAGGTGTGAAGTATGTGGCGCTCAAGAGCGCATTGTTACATTGACGGTGCAGCCCGCCAGCTTTTCTTTGTCGAGCTATGTATTCCAGATGTTTTTATATATATATGTGTGTGTGTGTGTGTGTGTGTTTGTGCATGCATGTGTTTGTGCGAGCGCGCGCGCGCGCGTGTGTGTGTGTGTGTGTGTGTGTGTGTGTGTGCTGTTTGTTTGTGTGTTCGTGCGTCCACAGTGTTGGGTGCAAGTAGCTCGAACGCACCTCTTCCATGCCCTCGTGAGAGTGACGTCACCTTCCCAGCGGAGGACAAGTGTGTAGGCGAGTGTTTGTGCGCGCGTGCGCTTGCATGAGTGTGTGTGTGTGTGTGTGTGTGTGTGTGTCTGTGTGTGTATGCTCGCGCGAGCATGCACGTCGCTGTACCTGCGGGCGTACGCATATGTCGTGCGTGAGTGGGGAAGTGTGTGCGCTAGTGGAACGTATTTGCTCGAACACATGTGCAGACGCATGCGCCCTGTTTTTCAGCGCCCTCCCTCTTGTTTCCCTCCTCTTTGTCTGTCCGTCCGTCCGTCTGTCCGTCTGTCCTCCGTCCGTCCGTCCGTCCGTCTGTCTGTCTGTCTGTTTATCTGTCTGTCCGTGTGTCTATTTGTCTGTCTGTCTCTCCCTCTCTCTGTCTCTTTTTTTTCCCCCCCTCTCTCTATATGTATCTGAGCGTCTCTGTCATTCATGGTAACTCTTTTTCCATTTCTCTCTGCCTGTGTTTCTGCCCCTTCCTCCCTCTCTCTCTCTCTGTCTGTCCCTCTCTCTCTCTCGACTCACCCTCGCATCCACGCCCGTGTCTGCATCTCGCACTTCCCTGCCTGTGTGTCTCTCTACCCTCTCCCCCTCGTCGTCGCACTCGTCGTTGTCGTGTTCGTCGTGGTCGTCGTCGTCGTCGTTCCCCTCCACGCGCTTCCGCCTCCGCCTCCGCCTCCGCAATAACTACACAGTGGGAAGGGGACCCAGAACTGGACTTGGAGTTATACAGTGGGGACAAGGCAACCACACGGCGGCGAGGAGACTCATGGATGTGCTGATTATGTGTCGAAGTACCCAGACCACCCCCCTTGCGTGGCATAGGTCCAAGTCGTTCGGAGCAGATAAGAACAACGGACGACAGGGGGTACTAGGGAAGCGCATCATGCACGCGTACTGCAGTGTAGGCATGTCGTGGCACGCGGGCATACACAGACGTGGCACGCCATTTCAGCATGCAGCGTGGGCGCAGGACGGGCTACCGCACCGGTGTCGGGAGAACGCTCTTGCCACGCTGATGACGACGAAATGGAAGGCTGAGCAACTAGGATACAGCTCTGTGTACACCAACTATGATTGCTCTTATGCGTTTGCCTCTACGGATAAGCGCCTCCTGCATGCAGTTGTCTTCAAACGAGCTGATGAATGGGACCGAGTGCACTCTGTGGGGGCCATCGACATGACAGCTATGACGATAGAAACACCCACGGAAGCCGTCACAATGGAAACCCTCTCGGGAGCCCAGATGGGCTTCACGTTGGCACCGAGGCAATTCAATTACAGCTACAACCTATACGTGCAACAATGGAACGACGGCGTGCGAAACGATCCTACGCAAAAGCTACACGACACCCAGCACCCCATTACTCACCAAGTGCACGACCTCAGCCTCAACACAATCATGGACGATATCACAAAGACTCACATCCTCCCAGCTGGAGCGTCAGCGACCCACGTCACTGCCCACCTGAACCAGGCCACGCAAGAGCTCGAGACAACACTTGCCAAGGGCAACTGGAAGCTCACCCCCACCAAAACCAACCACCTCCTCTGCCTCCGAGGCCAGGGGAGCTACAGCTGCACCCGCAAGTTGCGCCGTTCAAAGGAGCTGAAGGGCATTTCCCTTGGGGAAATGAGGGTTCTGGGGCCGTTTATCCCGTCAGATCAAGGCATCACGGGGGAGATCAAGAAACGGTGCGACGCGATCCGCCTAGCCTGGAGGCAAGGCGGCACCTTCTGGAGCTCCAAGAACAGCTTCGCAGTCAAGCGAATGATGTTCATTGCGTTTGTGTTCGGAGCTGGCCTCAGCGGATTAACGGCGATGGTACTCAGCCCATGTCACACTGCTACTCTAGATGCGGTGATCGGCAAATGCTTGCGTACGCTCGCTCGGGGCAAGATGTCGTGGACACGAGCGGACGGCACAGTACGATGTTACAGCACAGCCCGCGTGTTCAGGGAATGGAGGCTAGAGAGGACAGAAGACGCTCTACGGGCACGGCGACTGAAATGATACCAACAGTGGGCGAAGTACCCAGAAGCTCGCGGCAACCTGGTTGCAGCTATCTTTGGCCTCGGTGTGATGGAGCGGTTGAAGGGTGTTACACGATTGTTGCCAGGGGGCTGGGTGGGGACTTACTCTACACCTATGGCACAACAGTATCGGCGCGACCTAGATTTGCTAGCAGAGATGGACGAAAACATGCAAGCATGGTACGAGCACCGTGCGTCAGATCTGGCCATACTTACACCAGGAACCGAGGAGTGGCGGCAGTGGCTATGTGTCGACACGAGCATATTGCGCAGTACAGCGCAGAGGGGAGGAGGCAGAGAAGAGGGAGAGGGCGAGACGGTGGAGGAGCAGGAGGAGGCCCTTGCACGTCCCTTTTGGTGCGGCCACCCGTGTGTCGACGACGGAGGAAGGGGGGCAGTATGCGGGAGGAGGTTTAGGACAGCACAGGCACTACAGGCACACAAGAGAGGAGCGCACAACCTTCGCACGCTGCTCACAGTGTCTGTTACCACTAATCAGTGCCCCTGGTGTCTCAGTGTATTCCTCAATCGCAAGACGGCGATATATCATTGTCACAGGGCTGTAGAACGGCACGGCACGTGCTATGTCGACCGCAGCAAATGGGCCCACGAACTATTGGAACCAGCCTCATTGGAGTGCGGCCTATGTGGATACGAGGCCCAAGACTTACTTTCTTTTCAGTGCCACGTTCGATCGCATCACGAAGGCCCCCACTCGGTCAAAGAGCGTACTTGCCATGGCGGCGATGGTGCCGAGAGCGGACTGGCAGCTTGCTGGCAAGCGAGGCGCAAGCAGCGATTTGGCAGGAGAACGACGCTCGTCGCCGGCAGCTTCGGCGGCAGCAAGCGGCGGTGGAGGGGGACAACAGCCACAACGAGGACGCGGCGGCGACCACGAACACTACGACGACCGCCTGAACGTGACGATGAAGCTCGCCCTGCGAAACGCGCAAGACTTGAGGGAGGTGATGCACGTGCTGTCCGACTTCTGGCTCATCCCAGCGCAGGCCAGGGCCTTCCAAGCGGGCCTGCAGGCAGCCAAGAAGTACGCCACGGAGGTCCGCTCCCGAGGGAAGAAGCATGGCTTGGGACCCCCGCACGTGCACGTGGCCATCGAGGTGATGCGCGAGCTGCACGAGTCCATGGCAGTATCATGGAGAAGGAGAGCAAAGCCATCCTGCTAGAGTTCATCAACTCGACGGCGAACGCCTACGGCCAGGCCATGATCGAGGAGATCTTCAAGAGCTTCAAGGTCAACGAGACCTACAAGAGGGAGGACGAGGACGAGGGGGACAGGTATGGCAAGCTCCAGTACAGCCTGAACCCGACTCCAGTGCTGGGCGCCATCCTACAGGGGAAGGAGATCGGGGAGACCGAGCTCGCATGGGTGAAAACTTTTCAGTGTTCAAGCTCAAGGAGGCGATGACGGGCAGCCTGCTGGGCCTCAACGCGACCAAGGGGAAGGCCTCTGCCCCCAAGAGCGCCTTGGAGAGAGCAGTCGAATCGCCCTTGCGCCGCAGGCAGTAACGACGGCACCAGCATCCCGACACAACCTGCCGACGCTAGGCGATGTTGCTGGGCGGCCAGGTCGAGAGGCGCCCACGACGGTGGATGGTAGGGGGGCGTGCGGCTCCCTACCTTCCGTCCATCAGCCTTGGCCGAAGGGCTGGGCTGGGCCGACGGCGCCAGCATCCCGACGCAACCTGCCGACACAAGGCGATGTTGCTGGGCGGCCAGGTCGAGAGGCGCCCACGACGGTAGCCAGCGGTCCGTTGTTGCCTTTGCCTCCTCTCTCGTCGTCCCTTGCACGCTGGCCACCAGAGAGCGAGATGGAAAAGCTTGCTCATGCGATCAGTCTCGACCCGAAGAAATTCCAGAAACTTAGGGAACAGAGAACAATCATTTTCACATTCGAAGAGATGTACGCCCTTGCAGTGCAGTATCGCGAACGACGCAGGTACATTGTGGATCTCAGCCAGGGACTCGTACAAGGACCTCCTAGGACCCCATGCCAAAGTTCAGGAGGACAAGGTACCAACCTACAGGCACCAGTACGAGGACCACAAGAGCACCCGACGGGGCCCAGGCAGCATAGCAGTGACATGTGACGCCCGACTCCTGCACAACAGTGTGATGACATTAAATTACCCTTGCAGCATCGATTTGCAGTCTCGGCCCAACGGCAGAGATTCAATCGCCCTTCATCTTACTCTGCTCTCGCATACGACGGCGAGCCCAAGCCCGAGGGGACAGCGCCCAGCCCACACAGAGCACCTCGACATTCGATATGCGTCATGACTGGCCGGCAGTTGATGTGCAACAGGTGCAGATAGGACGGCCGTGAGGTTCCGAGGGGAGTGAGGCCACTGAGGCGACAGCGCGCATCCAGGCGGTGCCGCAGCTATATAGTAATCCCACTGTAGCTGCGAGAGATCCCCTGCTTATCTTGCTGTCTCTGCCCCTCCCCCTCTCGTGATTGAAGCCGCGCCTGTCGGCCCTCATCCGCCTCCTCAACGTCGTCAGGTGGATGGTCGGGGGGCGCGCGGCCCCCTACCTTCCGCCCATCAGCCTTGGCCGAAGGGCTGGGCTGGGCAGGGGGGTTCAGGTTCAGGTATTTCGAGCGCGGGCAGTTCGACCAGATGCGAACAGCCGCCTTCTTCTTTTTCTTCTTTGCTGCAAGGAGGAGCCGCCCCTTGGGGGGCCCCGCGCCCAGGGAGGCCTGGGTGCTTCCCCGCGCCGTTTTTGGGTTTGAACTGGCTGCTCTGCCCGCTCCCCCCTGCCGACATTGGGAACGGTGTTCGGGCCTCCCCATGACGGCGTGGAGGAGGGGGTCGTGGTGGCCAGCTCGAGCCCCTCTGCGAGGCTCGTGCCTCGCCGCCGATGGCCACTCACCTTGCGCGCAACGGCTCGCTCGGTGAGTCGCCAGGCTGGCCCAGTCCCGAAGAGAGGGCCAGCTCCCACGTATCCGCAGGGGTCTCACTAGCTCATGAGCGTAGAGGAGCTACGACCCCCGAGCGCCTGCCTTGCCTTGCCTTGCCTCTGCCCGCCAGGCCCCCGCTCGGCCCGCGCCCGCGTGCGCCCCCGCTCGGCCCTCGGGCGCCGGCGTGCCGGAGGCGCCGCGCGCGGGGGGCTGCCGCCGCGCCCGCGCGCGCGCCTCCCGCGGCTCCGCGGCTCCAAACGCTTCGGGGCGGCCGGTTTTCGGCCAGTGATCGTTTCCTCCTCCTCCTCCCCTCTCCTCCTCCTCCTCCTCGTCCTCCTCCCCCCCTCCTCCTCCCCCTCCTCCTCCTCCTCCTCCTCCTCCTCCTCGTCCTCCTCCTTGAGTTCTCCGTCCGGCATCGCCCGCGCGCCCCTGCCTGTTCGGATTGACACACCTGAGGCCGACAAGAGCACTATCGTGTGCGATGAGGCCCCTGAAGGCGCGTCATCGCCAGCACCGACGGTTGATTATGGAGCGCCCAAGAAGACCGGGGAGGCTAAGCCATCCCCCGGTCAAGTCCAGCAAACCACGAAGAAGCGCGACTTGAGTCGCAAAGACGACGCCGAAACCACAGGGCGAAGGTTATCACCGTCACAGTCTCCTGAGAGCAAGAATTTCAGATCGCGGTCATCATCGGCGCCCCCTGATACCGGCAAACGACCATTACCCATCAAAGACCATTTGGGACGCGGATCATTGGCATCGACTTCACCACCTCGATTGACGGAGATGAAGCGGCCCACGATATTGGAGGTCTCTGTGGCCCTCGGTGATCAGCACATTGGCGTCGCTCATGTTCAGGACAGGCACTTGATCGGCGCCTGCGTGGCTACAGATGAGTTTGACGAGCACGAGCACCTCATGATGAATATGGCCCCGGGAAGTTTCGGAACACCTACGACGCGTGCAGCATAACGCGACATCCTGGACAGCGCCAGAGGCCCATTGAATCATACCATGCCCGTCTTAAGAGGATCGGGCGTTCTATTTCGATCGCTTGACCGGTGAAACCTGGTGAAGCTAAATATGCGCAATCAGATGGCGTTCTCACGGATGCGGACATCATTGCTTACTGGGACAAGGTCGAGGCCGCCGACAGGGCCGAAGCTCGATCATTCATCGACAACCAGTGCTTCCGCGCGACTCACCAGAACAGCCTGGACACTAATGATATTATTGACGCTACATGGGTCAGACGCTGGAAGAAGGTCTACAATGACAAGAACGAGGTCTCTTGGATCATAGAGTCTCGCCTCTGTGGCAGGGGCTTTCTAGACGCTCAAAAGAACGATGTGATGATACGCTCCTGCACGGCTCCCAGGTTCTCCCAGAGGATTATCGCTTCACTTCTCATTGGAAAAGGAGCTGATTCTGAAGACGTGGGACATTTCGACGGCGTTCTTACAGGGCCTATCCCGCGAGACACTGCGTCGGAACGCGAAGCGCATGGGCATCGAAGTCAGAGATCAACGTAAGGTATATCTCAAGCCGCCAGCTAACATCTGGCGCCACTTCAGAGACTATCCCAAGCCGAACATCAGGATTCAAGAGCTTGATGTGCCGTTCTTCCTGCTGCAGCTCTTGAAGCCCATTTATGGCACAGTGGGCGCTCCACTTCTATGGCAGTTAGCATTGTCATTGTTCGTGATGGAAGATCTTTCTGGTTTCCGATCAGTATTCGACGATAACTTCTTCATGTGGGCCAAGGAATGCAGCATCATGATGGTTTGGACTGTGCACGTGGACGATATCATAGTTCTGGCTAATGTGACATATCCGTGCTCGAGCTTGGCTGAGATGGAGAAGCGTTTCGGACAATCAAGCGTCATCATCTGCCGTTCACTCACATGGGCATGAGCTATGAGCAGATACGGCCCAAACATTTGTTTTAATCCACCAAGAGAGCTTCACGGACTCGTTAAATAAGATCTTCATTGAGCCGGCGCTGAAAGACAAGACGGAGAAGGAGTGCAATCAAGACACGGGAAGACATGTACTGTGAGGTTGTACAGTTGCAGCAATTAGTACGGCAGGCCAACATCGGGTATCTCAAGCCGGCGAACCTCATCATCGATCGAGCCCAGAGGAATAAGCATATGGTTGGACTCCATTCTGCACCACTCAGCTATCCCGTACGCTTGGTTTCTATCGGCGATGCAAGTCACGGCGGCACGAAGACATCCTACCCTCAAGAGGGCACGGCGGTATGTGTGATGGAGGACCACATGCACGAAGTCAGAGTGAGGAAGGATCAGGTTCATCCGGACGACGCCTTCAAGATTGGTGGTAATTGCCACACCTTATCGTTGGCTTCGGGTAAGGCGAAGCGTATATGCCGTTCGACGTGTCATGCAGAGACGAACGCGGGCTACAATGTTACTCAGAGTGCTCAGTCATCGCCCTCAGACTCACGGAGAGCATCACCTGTTCGGACGTTCAGCACAACGCAGTGGACATGATGGAGATATCCAACCGAAGGTTGTACCATATTCGAGTTGGTCACTGTACTAATTGTATGGACTTCTGGCAGTTGTGTTGCGGGGTGAAGGGCGTACCAAGTGACAAGGGATCGCGATTGGCAGTATTATCGATGCGTGAGGAACGACTGTCAGGACGCATTTGGCACTTTCTTCACTTGAGGTGATGTTGGTTGACGGGCTTACCAACTGCGGAGTCTTCAAGCTGTTCATGACGCACATGGCTACAGGAGCTTGGCATATCGAGGTTCCCAAAAACAAGTACGTGACGATGCGGACCAATATCGAGCCTCATACCAGCTTCGACGAGACAGATCTATTGGACTTGAAGAGCTAGCCTCTAACGCTATGAACTTCCTATTTTTCTGGAGTTGTACACCCTGGCCAGGTCATCGGTCAGATCTACGTGATAGTCTATGTCGTGTGGAGTGGTGTGCCTCGACAGGGTCTTCAGGCTGACCTGCGCGATAGCCGACGTCGCGAAAGCCTGGTCACTCGTCGTTCGCCTCTGGCCTTAGTACAGAGTAGTATCTGTTCTTACCATCTCGAGGCTGTCTGTTATGCAGGCGAGTTTGAATTTTTCAACGTTTGATGAGCTTGAAACACCCACGATTTAAAGTGTTTGAATACTTGCTGGACTTCATTTCGGGACACTGGAACCTGAGCTAGAGTTCAGGTTCGATCAGAGGTAGTATCTGTTCTTATCAGTAGGGTGTGTAGCTAGCCAGACAGACAGGCAGAGGGCGGCACCCGCATTCGCATCGGGGCCCAAGGGGAAACATCTCTCATCTCCGCTCATCCCCTCCCTCCCTCCCTCCCTCCCTTCCCACCTTCTACGCCGCAGCGCCTCTGCCACCCCAGACATCCGCCGATATGATTTCTTCAATCCGCGGCCCCAGAGGTCCCGACCCCTTCCCCGGGAGTGGTTTTTCGTCCCGGATCCATTTTTGATGGTCCTCGGGCCGGATAACTGGCCCCGGAGGCCGAAATCTAGGAAAAACCTCCAGGTTGAAAACATCAGATCCTCGGATCTCTGGGACTACCCTCGCCCCCCCCCCTCTGCGCTGCTGGAAGCCCCCCGCCCCCGCAGTTGCCGAGCCTCACCGTCAAGTTGCGGCTCCCGGCGCCCGCTCGCCCCGGGCCTGGGGCAGGGCAGGTCCCGGCAGGATGGGGC